AACTAGCCCAAGGCTAAGCAAGAGAGGGGTGAATTAAAAAACTTTCACGATCAAAACACAAACTCAAACAAACCAAAATTCAATCAAACCTTGACCTACGTCCACTCCTTGGAGGTACCCTCTGAGTATTTCACTAAACTCAGTATCTCTCCTTTAGCCCTCACAGCTAGGCGGAGAAGCCCTTACAAAATCACTTAAACTTTCCCCGGTGCAGCGGAGTAGCCGGGTCCTTTGACACCAAAGAGATCTTCTTCTTCCCAAAACTTCCCTCAATACAAGCCTTGAATCTAATGGTACTAAGGTGCAAGTTCGCCGGAGTAATCATGTGGAACCCCCTCCACAATCCCTTGAATCCCCCTCCAAGGATCTTCTCCCTCTCTCAAACTCCACCCTTTCAAGCTCTCTCTTTAAGTTTCCTCTAGAAAAATGAAGCTTTAATGGCTGCCAAAGACACTCTTCACGAGAAAGCAACAGGTCTTTAAATAGATTTGCAAAACTGACATTATCGTCTGGGATGATCCGTCGGATGACCCGTCAATATGCATAAAAAGAGAGCTTTCAAAAGCCCTAAAAGCTCAATTTCAATGCCAAACATCATCCAGGATAATCATAGGATCATCCCGTATGATGCGCTTTAAAAGAGGGCTTCAGAAAACCCTAAAAACTCAATTTCAACGCCCAGAATCATCCTGGACGATCACAGGATCGTCCAGTACGATGTGCAGAATTTGATCTTATAATCCCGGATGATATTTGGATAGTCCATGATGATTAGTACAAAAATGTACACATCATACAGGATGTACAAAAAAGTATAAATCATCCAGGATGATATTGTGGATCGTCTAGGATGATTAGAATAAAATATATGGTATTTCATCTTGGACTATTAAAGAAAATCAAGTATGTCAAAAAACATCATCCTGTACGATATATAGATCGCCCAGGACAATTAGATTGAAAACTTTAACCATAATTAATTCCCTAATCACATGATCAATTTAGGCATGATTTGTATTGATCGTTCTGGATGATCCAGATCATCTGGGATGATTAGAAAAAAAATTAAATCTTAAAATCTTACCTAAATTAACATTGGCGACTGCTTTCCAAGATCATAATGGATCTTTCTGGATGATCCAAAATCATTAAGTATGATTAGTTCAAAACGTGATCTTCTGGATTTGACTAGATCTCACTCCCTTGAGTGTGTGTGTATAGAAAGCATACACCCTTACAAGATTTTGGCTCAAGAAATCAAAATTACATCAATGAATATTACAAACCCTTTTACAACATAACATTATTCAACCCAATCTTGAGCTCTGATTCTTTATTTAAAGTTGCATGGTATTCTTTTTTTTTTTTTGAGAAAAGCATAATCTGCATTAAAAAAGAGCCAAAAAACAACAACTACAAAGTAGATTTCTCCTTCATTATATTGATAAATGAAGGAGGAACCTCATCCAAAGTTAAGTCTTCCAAAATAAAACTACCAACCATAGCATAGCTAGCACACAAATCCGCTAGCTTATTGATATCCCTCTTAATACATTTAAAAATAACATTATTGAATTCTTGAAAAAATTCAAAGTTTTCCATACCTTTGCTCCCTTGGTTTAATGCTTTATGAATAACTTTGATCACATTTAAGTTTTCACTCTCAATGATTGCTCCTTTGTATTTGAACATCCAATCCTTAGTCACATCTTTTAAGGATTTAATAGAAAGCATTTCCAATTGATTTATGTCCCAATGAGTATAAGAATTACCAAAAGCAAATAAGAATCTCCCTTTGTAATATCTTACAACACCCCCAACTCCAGCTTTATATGAAGAGCATAGTGCAGCATCTACGTTGATCTTCAGCCAATCGGGTGGTGGGGGATGCCAAGCATTCGACAGCCAAAAAGGCTGATTAACATCCCCATTTTCCGGAATTGGTTCAAAAATCTTCATAGTGAATGACGACATGCTAATAGCACTGGTAGCTATGTAATTAGCACTTTCGGCAATTCCATCATGCACCCGCACTGCTTATCTGAGATAGTTC